TCTTACTCTCCCTCTCCCCCGCATCCTGCCCTTACTCTCTCTCTCTCTCTCGCTTTCTCTCGCTCTCTCTCTCTCTCCCTCTCTCTTTCTCTCTTTCTTTCTCTCACGCCCTGCCCTCAGCCTCCCTCATGCTATGCCCTCAGCCTCTATAATGTCATGCCCTCACCCTCTCTCACGCCCTGCCTTCAGCCTCCCTCATGCCATGCCCTTAGCCTCCCTCATGTCCTCTCCTTTCCCTCTCCCATCATGCCATGCCCTCAGCCTCTCTCATGTCATGCCCTCACCCTCTCTCACGCCCTGTCCTCGGCCTCCCTCATGCTATGCCCTCAGCCTCTATAATGTCATGCCCTCGCCCTCTCTCACGCCCTGCCCTCACCCTCTCTCATGCCATGCCATCAGCCTCTATAATGCAGCCTCTCTCATGCCCTGCCCTCACCCTCTCTCATGCCCTGCCCTCAGCCTCCCCCATGCTATGCCCTCAGCCTCTATAATGCCCTGCCCTCACCCTCTCTTATGCCCTGCCTTCAGCCTCTCCCATGTCCTCTCCTTACCCTCTCCTATGCCCTGTTCTCACCCTCTCTCACCGCCCTTCCCCGTGCTGTGTCCACGTGTCCTATCCTTGCATCCCCACGTCAATGCTGTTTTTTGACGGCATAATGGCTAAGTGCATGAGTACTGCAGAATCGACAGTATGAAGATATCGATAGTACGAACAACGTTTGCTGTCTTCCAGGTAAATGTGTGCCGACAAGAACTGTAAAACACGTAACGCGCATGTCGGTGAAATTTCACATCCGCGTCTCCATCCGGCATTGATCAGCGTCCTAAAATCACATAGTCGGCTTTCTTACGGGACATGGAAGAAGTGCAGACACTTTCTAAACTAGCTGGTGTTGATATAATATATATATATATATATATATATATATATCGGTTATCGGTTATGTATGAGATATGAGACTGTAATTCTTTCATGTGATTCTAGTGCGAAATGCGGCGTCGATAAAGGAGGTGCGTTTTTAACGCATAAGATTTATCCCGAGAGTGAAAGCTTTCAACTGATCATCACCACAGCAGAGGTAGCAGGTAAGTGGTGTGTGGCAAGTATGCAGTATAGTGTTTCGTTCGTTAACTGACCTCTATCTGTCTGAGCACGAACGACAACCGCGCCCTTGATTATTGTTGATAGGTCATCTAAACACATCTCGCAAAGCATTGTATTTTGACTTGGATGATACCCTTATTTTGAAGGATTGGCTAGAGCTGCTTGGCATTCACACCAGGTAGGTGGATAGCGGATTCGGGCCACATCTAATAGGTTGCTCGACCGGCGTGTCTTCACTGGCCAGGGGAAGATAAACGCGCGAATATCATGTAACTGTGAATTACCTACGTGTGTTTAATCTACATCTCATCCGCGACTCGTTTGCAGGACTGTCGTTAGAGGTTGCCCTAGAGGCGTTTGGTGAGCATTTCGTCGCCTACTGCCAGGAGATGGGTTACGGCAACATCCTGCGAGTTTTGGGCAGCAATCTCAGAGAATACATGAACAACCTAGACACCCTACACGATCACCTAGAGCTACAGTATAAGGGCATGGACGCCCCGTCGTTCAGGTAGACGACAGCAGGAGTCCCACATGCTCTAGCCCCTTTCCTCGGCGATATTCAATTTATATATATATATATATATCTACTATATAATAGTAGAAAGAGCCGAAGTGTCGTTTTCCGTATCTCCTCCGAAACCGTGCCACGTATTCTCACGCAAATCGAGCCGGGGCCCCTTCTGGACGTCCCGAATACATTCCGCTACGTTAGAACACGATTTTTCGATCATAAAGTGACTTTTGGAGGCAATTTTCTAAAAAGTTATATATGTGCCCGAAGAAACTTCGGCATTCATCGGAAACCTGCACCAACTTTTAAGATAGCCAAATCCGCATGCGCACACACGCACACACCAAAACCATATTGCGCCTGCGGTGATTTAAAAATTTAAGACAAACCCAACGAGAGACGGCTGCAATTGTATGTGTGTGTGTGTGTGTGTGTGTGTGTGTGTGTGTGTGTGTGTGTGTGTGTTGTGTGTGTGTGTGTGTGTGTGTGTGTGCGCGCGCGTGTGTGT